TTACTGAGACCTACCCTAAATCCCATCTCCTTGACAATATTCTTGAGAAGGTGTTTGGTTGCATTGCCTACGTTCGCAATGGCAATAGAGGAAAATTGGACCCTAGAGCCTTCAAATGCATATTTCTTGGGTCCTCTACCGCTAAAAACGGGTACAAATGCTACTCTCCATCCCTCAAGAAATTCTTTATTACCATGAATGTTACATTTGTCGAGAACCAATTATGAATGCTCACACTCCCCTGAATGTACCCATACCTATACCTACAACGAACCCTTGGCCAGAGCCAGAACCTACTCCTATACCTGAGGTGACCCTAGACACTAAAACAGAAGCAGGTATTGAAATGTTAGAACAAGATGGAGACAACAAGTCAACACATGGTGAACCACCTCAGCCCTTAGACGTCCCAAACGAACCCTCGGGTGGTGAGCAATGCCAATCCTCAAACTTGGCTCCTAATCCTGATGATCTTGGGTGGCCAATTGTCTTAAGAAAAGGGGTAAGGAGATGTACTCAACATCTTATTAGTCATTTTGTTTCTTATGAAAAATTATCACCTTCCATATGGGGTTTTGTTGCTAGCTTAGATGAAGAACAGTTGCTAAACAGTTTTGAAGAGGCAATCTGTGACTCTAATTGGAAGAAGGCAATTGAAGAGGAATTGGAGCCCTGCATAAGAACCAATCATGGCAAATCACTAGGTTACCACAACAACAACAACAAGCCTTATTCCACTAGGTGGGGTCGGCTACATGAATCACACGACGCCATCGTGCTCTGTCAACAATCCAATCCTTAGATATGTTGTTGACTAGGAGGTCTCGTTCAATAATCTCATTAAGCGTCCTTCTCGGTCTTTCTCTACCCCTTTTTATGGGACTCCATCTTGTTTGATCCACCCTTCTCACCAGGGCCTCCAAAGGCTTTCTCTGCACATGTTCAAATCATCTTAAGCGATTTTCAACCATTTTCTCTTGGATAGGTGCCACACCGACTCTTGTCCTAATCTTTTCATTTCGAATCCTATCTTTTCTTGTATGACCACACATCCATCTCAACATTCTCATTTCTGTTACTCTGACTTTGTGCTCTTGTTTTCCTTTTATTGCCCAACATTTACTACCATACATTATAGCTGGTCTTATAGCAGTCCGATAAAATTTTCCTTTAAGTTTCTCAGGTACCTTCTTATCGCAAATAACTCCGGTAGCTTTCCTCCACTTTAACCAGCCAGCTTGTATTCTATGAGAAATATTTTCATCAATTTCCCCATCCTCCTGTATAATGGATCTTAGGTATTTAAACTTTGATACTTGAGGAATGATTTGCTCCCCCATCTTCACCTCCAAATCCCCATTGCCTTGCCTCCCTCCAAAATCACAATGCATATATTTTGTTTTGTTCCTGCTCAAGCGGAAACCTTTCGACTCCAAAGTCCTTCTCCATAACTCCAATTTAGTGTTAATCTCTTCTTTTGATTTTGCCATGAGAACTATATCATCTGCGAAAAGCATGGACTTAGGAATTTTTTCTTGAACAGGTTCAGTTCGAACATCCAGAACAATGTTGAACAAGTACGGATTCAGAGAGGATCCTTGATGTAGGCCAATCTGAATAGGGAAGTCCTTTGTCTCCCCCCCAGGTGTCCTTACACTAGTAGTTACCGCCTCATACATATCTTGTATGGCTTTGATATAAGCAACCCGTACACCTTTCTTTTTCAAATCCTTCCATAATACTTCTCTTGGCACACGATCATAAGCCTTTTCCAGGTCAATAAAAACCATATGTAAATCTCTTCTTTTACTTCTATATCTTTTCATTAACCTCCTTAGTAAATAGATTGCTTCCGATGTGGATATCCCTGGCATAAATGCAAATTGGTTTTCCGAAATAGAAGTCTCCAACCTCAACCTATATTCTATCACTTTTTCCCACAACTTCATTGTATGACTCATAAGTTTTATCCCTCTGTAGCTTGCACAGTTTTGAATGTCTCCTTTATTCTTGTAAATAGGAACTAAAATGCTTCTCCAAATCACTAGGTTACCAAATGGAAAAAAGACTATGGGGTGTAAATGTCTTCACCAAGAAGTATAATCCAGATGGTACAGTTAATAAGTACAAGGGAAGACTAGTGGCGAAGGGTTACTCAAGTTATGGGATTGATTATCAAGAAACATTTGCCACTGTAGCTAAATTGAACACCATTAGAATCCTCCTCTCCTTGGCTGCAAACTTAGACTGGCCCCTTCACCAATTAGATGTGAAAAATGACTTCCTGAACAATGATTTAGAAGAAGTGTATATGGAAGTAGTAGAGGCATAGCTGAGAGAAACACACCAAGGATGGCATGCGGACTCTTTAAATCACTCTATGGATTGAAGCAGTCACTTAAAGTGTGGTTTGATCGTTTCACCGAGGCAATAAAGAGGGGAGGCTTTGCACAGTGACAAGTTGATCACCAAGGTAGTAAAGAGGGTAGGCTTTACACAATGACGAGGTGATCACACCTTGTTTGTGAAACATGTAGGAGGTAAAGTGGTAATATTAATTGTCTACGTTGATGATATTATCCTAAGAGGTGATGATGCCGCTGAAATAGCAAGACTCAAGAAATCACTTTAAAATAGCAAGGTAAAAGATCAAGGTGGTCTAAGATACTTCGTAGGAATGGAAATAGCAAGGTCAAAAGAAGGATTATTGTGTCTCAAGGAAAGTACACGTTAGATCTTTTGAGAGAAACAAGAATGTTAGGTGCAAAGCTGGCAAATACTCCTATGAAACCAACACGGAAACTAGATAATAAAGAAGGAGAGGTGGAAGATGATAAGGATGGGAAACCTAAGTCAAGGAATGAACCAATACCAGTTGATGCAAATAGATGTGAAAGATTGGTAGGTAAACTCCTACATGTCTCTCATACATGCCCTGATATAAGCTATGTAGTTGGGGTGGTAAGTCGGTTTTCAAATGAACCCTTAGAAAAACACATGAATGCAGTAAATAGGATATTGCACTATCTTAAAATGACCCTAGGTTGTGGACTATTCTTTGCTAAAGGCAAGTCGAGATAGGTTGTTATCTACATTGATGCAGACCATAGAGGTTTTTTGCTGGAGAGGAGATCTACATCGGAATATTGCACCATGGTATGGGGGAATCTTGTTACTTGGTGAGGTAAAAAGCAGATAGTGGTGTCTAGAAGCAGTGCTGAGGATGAACTACGTGCGTTAGCTCATGGCGTACGTGAGGGGCTATGGTTAATAAGAGTACTTAGGGAGCTGAAATTAGCGCCTACAACTCCAATAAGGTTGAGGTGCAATAGTTTACTTGCCATAGGGATGGTGAGAAATGCCATCCACCATGAATGTACAAAACATGTGGACATTGATAAGCACTTCGGCAAAGAAAAAGAAGACGAAGAAATTACTGAGATCACTCATGTTCCTACACATTATCAAGTGGGGGATATGTTCACTAAGGCTCTAGCAAGACCACAGTTTGAAGACTTCAGAAGCAAGTTGGGAATGATAATATCTATTCGTCAACTTGAGGGGGAGTGTTGATTGGATTATGGGCCCAAGGGCCTGTTTGAATTTAAATCATATTTTACCCAGTTTGTTTCCTAGAATCTCGACATATATCTCTAGATTTATTGCTGATTGATTTTTTCCCTTGATTTAGTTTTGATTGCTATAATCTGCACTATCCTAGAAGATTTGGTAAACCTAGGATCAGTTTCTATATACGTACTCTCAAGTGAATAATATACACTTTTCTGGGTAATACAAACTCGTGGAGTTATGTGTTGTTAGGTTTCATTGTGTGCAACTTACTAGTAAGGGTTAGTTGAGAGAAGTAATGGGTCACTTAGGGGACGCTGGTCCAGGACTTTTGGAAGCTATGTTGTTGTGTTAGATAGTTTTGAGGAGGATACTTGGGAGAATGTTTAAGGGGACCACCCAAAGAATGTCAGTGAGTGAATTTTGTAAGCTATTTGTCTGTCTTGAATGATTTCAGCCTTAGCACTAGTTAACTAGTTTGGATTGGTCATTCCTTTTTTAAGCTTAAGTTGTTTGACATTCTTTTGTATATCTTCATTAATGCGTTTCATTTGTAACAAGCCACAAGTTTTCTGATCGTTAGTTTAAATGGGAGTGTGAGGGTTTTACCAAAGGCTTGTTGGTTAAAGGGTTGCTTGTACTGCAACCAAAGCCAAGGGTATATTTGTCTTTCAGTAATCATATAGCAACTGAATGGTTAATGTTGTGTATGCCATTGAGTTTTGAACTTTAAGACAACCTGCGGGTTCTAGATTACATACAGCTCTCTCGATTTTAAATATATCTCCACTTCTATGTTAGCTGCACATTCATTTTTACTTTTTTGTTGGCTGTTTTTGATGGAACGTGCTGTTTGGATTCCTTGGCAAACAATGCTTGCTCTCTGACTTGTCGTTGTGTCAACTTTCTCATACAAGATTCCTTGGTACACATTAACTTTTTTGGTCGGGTGTGTTTCTTATGGAATGTGCTGTTTGGATTCCTTGGAAAACAACGTTTGCCCTCTGATTTTACAGTTGTGTCAAACTTTCTCATACAAGATTTAAACATTGAGTGTTTTGCTTGAATAAGGAGGCTATTTTTTGTGCCTATCTTCTTGTATTCTCACATAACCCTCTAAGGTGTCTTAATTGAATATTAAAGATTGAGCAGCTTTGTTTCTTTCTTCATCCTTTTAATTCTTGCTGACTATGGAACTTAACATGGAAGGACTTCATAAGCTTCTCTTTCTTGCTTCAATATTTCCCCATACAAGAAAGGGTGCAATATATGGTGGTGCCATAACTTCTGAACACTCATGCAAACAGTTTTTTTCTTTGCAACACATTGTACTCTTCCTTCTTGGGTTTTCTAATTTTATTCATGAATCAAATTTGCTGCTAGCATTTATAATAAGCAACTTTCTAATTTGTTTCTCTTCTTGTTAACAGAGTTTGGAGGGAATAAGTGATATCCGGGATGAGTCTGATCGTTCTGGAATGCGTGTAGTTATTGAGGTATACTGAATAGCTGTGGTGTTTGTTCATGCATTCTTCTGTTGAAACTTCAAGCAAACATTTAAAGTGTTGGAAGGAAATCAAAAGAAAAGGCTTTGGAACACTGGATAGTGACTAATTTTATGCTGTTTGCAGCTTAAGCGGGGATCAAATTCATCAGTTGTTTTGAACAATCTTTATCGATTAACATCTCTTCAGTCCACATTTAACTGCAATATGGTGTGGTAAGTTCTTAAACATTTCTTTTGAAATATTCATTATTCAATCCAAAACATGGAGAGAATTGTCAATATGATTTTTTTAATGTCTGATTGGCAAAGTTGTCTTACATGAGTAATTTGTGTTCATGCATGCACACTCTCTTCAAGTAAGGCCTGAACTCATTTCACTTCTCGTGATCCTAGCTGATTTTCATGATTGGCATAGACTTTGTGGCTATTTAAAAACAGCCTGTCGGTTAGAAATTCATAGTTATGAATACTGTGAAATCATAGACCAAAGTGTCTTTGGAAGCCATGATTTTCCATGAAAGCTAGCATATTATTGGTTTGATATCACCTTCTTTTAAATAACATGGATAAATAACATGGATTGGGGGTGAGTTGTGGTACTTTTCATGGGTTCTGAAGCTGCTAAGTGGCAGAAGATTTTTTATATGAATCCTACTCTGCACCAGCGGCCTAAGAAAAGGGAAACAGCTAAGTCAAATCCTCAGGCTGAAGCTTGAATTAGTTTGAACGAGTTTTAATTGTGTTTTGAATTATTTTAAGGTTAATTAGCTAAATAAGTGGACATATGACTGTTAGGGGTTACCAACGTTCCACTATGTTTCTAAGAGATATTTTAGGGATTAATTCTGTTTCTAGAGGTATTATAGGATTTTCAGAACTCATTACCGTTGTAATTCCTCTGCATAAATAACCTATCCACTCTCTTTGCTAAGGGAGAGATTGAGAAATAAACGAATTATTTTTATCCAATTGGAGATTCTCGTTTTGTTGGCTATTGGGATTAGTAGAGTGAGATTCTTGCTTTGCTCATTCTTAATAGAAATCTATCCCCAGTCTGTTAGAGAGTGAGAGTGAGATACTTACCTCCCTTCCTAATAGAGCTATTTTCCTTTTTTTTTTCCTTCCATTTTTCTTCAGTCTTTATATTCCCAGATTTAGGATCTTAACATTTTTGGCTTACAAATAGAAGATTTGCGTTTATAATTCCTGAAAACTAAATATATATATCAACCGTTTTACCAAAAACTGAGGCCAAATTCTGTGCAACGTTTATTAACTTTGATGATACATAAATTTGGACTGAAAATTTTGGGTACCTATCAGTTTTTTTTTTTTTTTTGGCATTCTCTTTTAGTTAAAACGTCATCAAGATTTCTAATTTGCGCTTATGCTAGCTACTCATATGTCCACTTTATCTAGTATGTTTTTGTTATGACATTTTTTGCAGGCAAAATTTTCTATTATTCATTCGTTTTTATCGTGGGATTGAGGGGGATCTGTTCTCAATCCTTTCCTCTGTTTATGCACTGTTATTGGGTTCGGTGGAATAAGACAAATCAGAATAACAAATTCTGAGTTTAACATTTTCTGTTACCATCTATCTATTCCTCATTTCATTTATTGTGCTTTGCTTGTATTTCTTCATGTTGTCATTTCCTACTTGCTTTTATGTTTCTATATTTGTAGCATAGTAAATGGGCAACCTAAACAAATGGGGCTGAAGGAATTACTCCAGGTGACTACTTGCTTGCCAAATCTTCCTACGTTTACCCATTTATGTAATTGTTGATTTGAGTAAGCTATTTTCCTTGTCCTGTCAGGGTAATCGACATTCTCTTCCAGTTTCCATGTCGTTGACATTCATGTTCTTATGCTGCAGAGTTGTTTGAAGCTTTAGTATGGGCTCATGAACTTAATACTTTTTGCTAATTTGATTTGATGGAGAAATGAACCAGTGGTTCTTTCCATTGTGCAAATTTCCCAAAAATATAGACACATCTAATGTTACAGAACATGTGAGCTCTTGAGTGAAGTTTAAACATGTTAAAAGACATGATGAATCATGATGTTATGTTTATGTCATTTGTATCTTGTGAAAATGTAGAAAATTTCTGATGCGTATAAAAGGAGAAAATAGAGTAAGAGAGTTGGAATATCATTCACAAGATTCCCCATATCTCTCTGCTGACCCGATTTATAAAGATATTACATAAATCCCGAAACTACCCTTTCCCTACTATTTTCCTGTTTACCCCCCCATTCCTCATGTGACAATTTCTATGTCAGCAAACATGGTCGAATACTTTAGCCATGAATCTCACTTGATTCTTGGGAAAGCTTCACATGCAAGCCTCACATTTCTTAATCCTCAAAGAAATATTATTGGGAATACAAGAATTGCATTCCATAAATAGTCTGGAATGGAAATCTTCCATTCTGATGTGTTGGAGTAGGTAACTGATGTTGGCTGAAACAAAAAGATAGCGTGATAACTAAGTAAATTGTGACAAAGGAGTGACTGAAATAGGATATCTCTTATAGGACAGAGAACACGGTAAAAAAACCTAGAAAATAGTTAAACCAAAAACAGTAAAATATGCAGAAAATATATTATAGTGCCAGGCCTTTGAGATGCAAATTGTATGCAAAAGTCACTCAATTTTCTGGTGCCCTTATCACTCAAATATACGCCATTGTTGACCTAAAGGCCTACAAATGAATTCATCGGCATCCCCTGTCTATCCTCCAATACCCCCATGCATAGTGTTCCATGTTGTTACACCCATCCTCACGTCATTCGTTATGTAATATTTAGATAATATTAGGATACTTATTTAGATTTATATCTATTAGGGTTTTTACTTATCTAGAAGTAAAGAAGGGATTTACATATGGTCTTTATTGACTTAGAAAAGGCTTACGATCGTGTGCCAAGAGAAGTAATGTGGAAGGCTTTGGAAAAAAAAAGTGTACAGGATGCTTATATCAAAGCCATACAAGATATGTATAAGGGGGTAACTACCAGTGTAAGGACGCCTGGAGGTGAGACAAAGGACTTCCCTATTCAGATTGGCCTACATCAGGGATCCTCTTTAAGTCCGTACTTGTTCAATATTGTTCTGGATGTTCTAACTGAACCTATTCAAGAAAGAATCCCTAAGTTCATGCTTTTCGCGAATGATATAGTTTTCATGGCGGAATCAAAAGAAGAGATTAACACTAGATTGGAGTTATGGAGAAGGACGTTGGAGTCGAAAGGTTTCTGCTTGAGCAGAAACAAAACAGAATATATGCATTGTGATTTTGGGGGGAGGCAAGGCAATGGGGATTTGGAGGTGAAGATGGGGGAGCAAATTATTCCTCAAGTATCAAAGTTTAAATACCTAGGATGCATTATACAGGAGGATGGGGAAATTGATGGAGACGTTTCTTAAAGAATACAAATTGGCTGGTTAAAGTGGAGGAAAGCTACCGGAGTTATTTGCGATAAGAAGGTACCTGAGAAACTTAAAGGAAAATTTTATCGGACTGCTATAAGACTGGCTATGTTGTATGGTAGTGAATGTTGGGCAATAAAGGGAAAACAAGAGCACAAAATTGGGATAGCAGAAATGAAGATGTTGAGATGGATGTGTGGTCATACAAGAAAAGATAGGATTTGAAATAAAAATATCAGAGCAAGAGTCGGTGTAGTACCTATCCAAGAGAAAATGGTTGAAAATCGCTTAAGATGATTTGGACATGTATAGAGAAGGCCATTGGAGGCCCCGGTGAGGAGGGTGGATCAGACAAGATGGAGTCTCATAAAAAGGAACAGAGGAAGACTAATAAGAACGCTTAATGAGGTCATTGAACGAGACCTCCTAGTCAACAATATATCTAAGGATTGGGTTGTTGACAGAGCACGATGTCGTGTGATTCATGTAGCCGACCCTACCTAGTGGGATAAGACTTGTTGTTGTTGTAGGTTTTTACTTATCTATGAATACCCACTATCATTTGTAACTCAGTTGTGCAATGTGATTAGAAGTTATTCAGTTTCTCTTAAGTGTTCGATTCTTCTCTAATCCTCCTCTGTTTCTCTTGCTCTTTTCCCTTTCTTTTTCCTCTTTCTTTCTCCTACTTTACTTCCCATAACATAATCTTTCCTGATTACCATGCCTATATAAGTGTAATATATACTTGCGTCCATCATAGGATAACTGCTGAAAAATGCCATTTAGTTTAATTTGTAATCCTACAATTTACTAGAGATGTTAGGTTACAAGCATTTCCTTGAAGTTTCTAGTTTATTTTTGCATTGATTTGAATTTTATTTATTCTACTGGTTGACCGGAATTAATTGTAATTATGGCATCCTATATTTCATCTAATATCTGTTTTGTGACGTCCCTTTGTTTTTACTTTGGTTTCAAGCACTTTTGGTGACTCATTTACTATTGGTTAATAGCAAGCCTTATCTCACTGAGTTATTAAAGGTTAGAGTAGACTAACTTTTCTTTTGATTTTTTCCTGTAATATTCAACCTTTTTCAGGCGTTCATAGACTTCAGATGTTCTGTTGTTGAGAGACGTGCAAGGTATAAGCTTTCACGAGCACAAGAGAGACAGCATATTGTTGAGGTACATGATCCATGTGTTTGCACACAGAGAATTGAAATCTTTTGACAACTTTGGGGGGTGCTATTAGATATGCTTTTTATTCTCTATTTTTATTGGATAAGATACTGTTATCAGAATGTGATAGCTAAATAAACTGCTTGTTACGCTAAATATGTTATTTTCCATAGGTGATCTGCCCCTAGAGTCATTTGGCTAAAATTAAAATACATATAAACACAAGATATTGAAGATCATTGTTGCACTTCAGCATGCCTTACGGACGCTTAAATGGTAGACATTCATGAATATCCTTAGGATTTATTTCTTTTTTTGTGGTAAATAATGCCTCATTCTATGCGTTGAATTGTTTGTCCATACATGCTTGCCGTCCAACAGTGTTAGTTTTCTCCTTTTGCTTCTGGAATTTGCTTAAACAAGTTTGGAGAGTGATGTGCTATCAATTACTCCCTCTGGTCCTGTATACAAGTTGCAATTTTTGTGGCAGGGTTGGTTCTTTTTATATAAGTTGCACTTTGTATATGTCTGTAAGTTTCACTTTTTTCATTTTGCCTCCCTATTGATTAAATGTCTCTACATTAATGATCACATGTTAGCCAGGAATTATATTCTATTCTTTCTTTTAGTGGACTCTCTCGCCTCTTTTTTGTACACATTCTGTCGCATCTCTTTTATTTTCACTCATTCTCTCTTGCTCACCCTCTCCATAAATGAGGACATATTTGGGGGGAAAAAAATACATTTCTTGCGCATTTATTGCCTTTAACTGAATTTTTGATCTATGTAATTTGATTATTTGTATCTTATTTATGGGACCAGAGTGAGCCTTACCTGTGTTAACAACACATCCTTTTCACTTCAGCATGTGCTTTTTGCCCCTGTGAACTGTTTAAAAGCATTTGAAGGCTTGAGGTCAACCATTTCCTTTAAGATATATTTTTTTAATAGATGAACTAATATATTCATCAGACGTATGGTGTAAATAAGTGAGGTTCCATTTTTAATTTTTTCATTGAATTATGGATTCCTTTATTAATTTCATGGGCAATGCAGCAAACAAATGATAGGTTGGACCCTCGTTGATTATTGAGAGTGAAGTTGGTTGTTTGTCAAGTAAAAGGTGTATGGCTAGACGTTCTTTTTCAAGCTAATGGGGATAAATTCAGTAATGAGTCCATATGGAAATCTTCAGTTGGGTTTCTGTTTAGCAATGTCTTTGATTGGGGATTTCAGAAAATATCACTTTTTTCTTTCAGTGTTGTGGAGTTCTTGATCAGTTTTAGGGAATTTGAGATTCAGCAAGCAAGGGAAATTTTGTTTTAATATATGCATTGTTTGCTGTGGCTATCAATTTACCAGACATGCGAGCTGCTTTATTATCTTGGATTTTTTGTTTTTTCAATTTGGTTAGCCGACTACCTTTGTGGGTAATAACTCATCTGGCTTCTTCATGGTGCTCTGCCCACCATCAGACAGTGTTGTCAGCCTCTCAGCCTTGTGATCGAATTCTGCATTTGGCTACTCTTAAGTGGTTACCTCTTGATGAAAAACAAAAATAAAACTGATTTCTGAAAGATATAATCATTGAACATTAGCTTGGGAAAATTGTTGAACAAACGTAATATGTCTATGTTGATCTTCTTGCCTAACATGGTTCAGCACACATCCAGGGTATTGTTGTTGGGCTTGACAATCTGGATGGAGTTATTCATGTTATTCGTGAAGCTTCAAGTAATTCAGTTGCATCGGCTGGTCTTAGAAATGGTAATCTCCTCATGTTTTGTTTATTCCTTGGTGTTGATCGTCCAGAAATCCTATTTCTCCTGAATGTGATATTTGAAGACATATGAAGAGCATGTTTGCATGACTTTTGATATTCAGACATTCAGTTCAAGTGTTAGACTTAGTTCGTTTCACTATTAATTTGAAAGTTTTATTTGTAATCTAAGTGCAGTGCAACCCAGTCCACTTAACCATGTATTCAAGTTCTGGCTCTTCTAATCATCTAATAATAAATTAAATTTTATATTACAGAGTTTAACCTATCTGACAAACAAGCTGAAGCCATATTGGACATTAGTTTGAGAAGACTGAGCCTTCTTGAGGTAACTTGGAATCATGCCACTAAGAATGCTAATAATTTTTGTGATTTTTGTTAAATAGTTGTGATGATACCAGAGGTAGAAATAATATGCTTTCTGCTGTACAGAGGAGAAAATTTGAGGATGAAAGTAAATCTTTGACAGAACAAATTTCGAAGTTTGAGGAACTGTTATCTAGCAGGAAAAATATACTGGAGGTATAGTTTCACTTATCAGCATTTCTTTCCTTCATAGCTTATGGAGGCTAATCCATGGGTTGTATTTGTTCAGTCAAATACTGGTACTCCTTGGTTGCTGGCTTGACAACATATTAATTTTGCGTTATATGACTTTTTACATCAAATTTTGTTCCTCGAATCCTACTGTTGGCATACATACTGCATATGTCAGTGGTGTTTGTCAATCTTTTGATCCCTATGTTGTTTGGAAATTAAAGTACACTGATAGGCCATCTTGCATCCCCAAAGTCAGACAGGTGCAGATCTTAATTGTTTCTTTTGAAAATGGTTTTTGTCTGCCCATGTCTTTTTTCCATCCACTTTCTATATCAATTATTGATTTCAATTTTCTCTTTCCAGAATTTTGATATGGAACGAGAAGTATTTGGGGGGGGGGGGGAATATTTTGGGGGAATGAAAATTATAGGCAAAAGTTGCACACCCTTGTTAGGTAAAAACTGCATTTCCTTAAGAGGGTATTTTACCTTACTTTCACAATAATATTCTCCCCATAGAAGGGAAGAAAATGGGAAGTTAAGAAATATGGTGATAATATTTTAAGTACATATTTTTCACTGAAATTTCATCTCTAGTCTCAACTTAATTCACCATGGATAAAGTTTTGGTTTTATAATTTTCACTTCAGTTTATTCCCCCAATTTTAGGCTGAACAAGAGGGGAGAAGCTAATTTTCAACTTCCTCAATTTTACTGCCTTTGCTATCTTCCTTTTCGTTTTCTTTGCCTCAGCACTTTGTTCTGTGCACTTTTTTTGTCCCAAAAACTGATGGGCATTTTTCACAAAACACACTCTCTCTCTTAGTTACTTCTATTATGGTTGTTTACTGTGCTTAATGGATCATTCATATTGCTAACTGAACCAAAACTTTTTGACTTATTTCTGAAACCTTTAGCTTGTAGAACACGAAGCTGTTGAGCTGAAAAACAAATTTGCTAGTCCAAGGCGTTCAATGTTGGAAGATGCAGATAATGGTCAACTTGAAGACATTGATATTATTCCAAATGAAGAAATGATATTGGTATGTTTCAGTATAAATCTTTATTTTGTGCTTTTCTTCTCTCGTTGACTTGTCACTTCAGGGTGCATGTGTGTTATAATATTTTGAACCCTTTTCTCCCCCATGATTGTGTCTTACTTTCAGGCACTTAGTGAAAAAGGTTATGTCAAGAGGATGAAGCCAAGCACCTTTAACCTTCAAAACCGTGGAACAATTGGCAAATCAGTTGGAAAGTTGAGAGTGAATGATTCAATGTCTGACTTCCTTGTTTGTTCTGCACATGACCACGTCCTTTATTTCAGGTGGCCTAATCTTTTCCCTATTTTGTTGCCACAAGTAAAAGAACTTCTGCCTTTGGAAATATAAAGTAAACTAACCTACGTTGATGTACAATAAAGATAGTGAAACTGAGCCAGTATAGAAAAACACTAATATTTATTGATCAATTTCAAGGCAAGTGAAACACCTAGAAACATACTGAACCATGTTTAGGTGACCCAAAGAAAGCCAAATTCCACAGCTCAAGTTGAAGTAATCTTATTCCAACATTGGAAATAAAATCTTAATCCAACATTCCTAAAAGTGACAAATAATACAATGCATAAACTGAACAACTAGACACTTGATTCCTAAGTGACTCATTTAATTTCTAATTCCAAATTACATTTTGATTCTTAATTTTCAATTTAATATTTAGCATTTATAGCTCCACTTCACTGTTATTTATGAAGTATGTAGAACTTGGATTTATTTGTGCACTTATGTACTTCTTTCCCTTGAAAGTTCTAAAAATTTCTGGGCCTGTGAGCTGGCTTTTTATGGCTTTGCTTTTGATTCTAGGTCCCCATATTTGTTGTGGTTGCTATTTCATTTTGTCAAGTATTTATTTATTTATTTATTTTTTTGCTGCAGTTGATCCTGATTTATGAAAAGACATAGATAATGACTTGCGAAATTTAATTTTCAGTGATAAGGGAACAGTTTACTCAGCTCGTGCTTATAAAATTCCAGAATGTAGCCGGAATGCTGCTGGCACCCCACTTGTTCAAGTAATTGGTTATCTCTCCCTCACTCCCTCCCTCCTCCTCTCCACAGACACACACACACTCTTGTATTGCTCACAAAACCTATCATTGTTTTTATGTTTGAACCAGCTTATATCTTTATCTGATGGGGAAAGAATAACATCAATTATTCCTGTGAGTGAGTTTGCTGAAGATCAGTTTTTGCTGATGCTTACAATGAATGGCTATATCAAGAAAGTTTCCTTGAATTCTTTTTCTTCAATCAGATCAACCGGAATCATTGCAATTCAGTTGGTTTGTTCTCACAGATTTTCACCTTTCTCCAATGTTCCATTGATAAGTAGTTAGAATGCTTTGTGTGCTAGTTTGCTTAATCAAGCCTTTGATTTAATAGGTTCCAGGTGATGAGCTGAAATGGGTTCGTCATTGCACAAATGATGACCTTGTAGCTATGGCTTCACACAATGGAATGGTTACTCTAAGCCTCTCCAGCAATGTAAGAAGTTTTCATTGTTTCTTATACTCAAGAATTTTTTATTTTTGAATTCTGAATCATTGAAATCTGAGGTGGCTTAACATCACATTTTCTGATCACTCAAAAAAATCATAGAAAATGAATTGGTTTTTTTTTTATATTCCTTGTGTGTGCATGCTCACGCGTGTGCGTGCAAGCATTGATCATATGATGCTATTGTAGTCTATCAGCAACCAAATTTTTAGATAGGTTGTTAACCAAAAGGTCCCGTTTAATGACCTCATTGAGTGTTCTCCTTGGTCTTTCTCTATTCCTTTTGAAAAGATTCCAAACTGTTTGATCTACTGATAGAGCCAGCAACTAGAAAGATTGAAACTGAGAAAATACTGCCGTGTATCCTCTTTACTGATTGAAAATTGAGAGAATACAAATGCTACTGATGAATGCACCAAACACACACTCCAGGAATGACAATGAGGAAATAACTGTAAAACGAAATAAACACTCCCTTGGCTTGATATTCGAGAGATCAGGCCCTTTCTCCCATCTAACACACCAATTGCCTACTTTACTACTACTCCTCTCCCCCCCCCCCCCCCCCCCAAAAAAAAAAAAAGCACTCCCACTACCTGACAATGTCAGAAAATCATTACCCCTGCTGCACACTGTCATTTCCGGTTTTGCCCTGGCTATTTTGATCAGACTTGGACCTTGGGCCATCGTTGGTTCTTCTCTTGTATTTTCTGTCCCAATACTTACTGGGTCTATCATCTACCCTGCTCACTGGCGCCTTCAATGGCCTGGTGAGGAGCCTGTGAACTAGTCCTACTTATTTCAAGCTAAAGACCCAAGCTTTTGATCCAGTTATCATCTGATGAGCTTTTTTCTCCCCTATTTTTGTACAATAATGACTTCGTATGAGTGGTTGAAGATTGTATTATCATTGCTTAATATATAGGAATCTTGGCATGGTTTTTGTTTTGGTGGATTGATGCATCATTGGTGTTAAACATGGACTTTGGAAGGGGCATCAGGTGCCCAACTGTCCATTTCATTTGTTTAAGAGTATCATTGTTTGAATTAAGTTTGTTATCTTAATGTGAATAGAACCTGTAATGTTGCCTTTATTTAGACATTTCTGGATTCTAAAATCCAAGAAGTACAAGTTGATTGTTTCTCTTTTTTCACTCGGATTTTTTTATTTACTCTCCAATTAATCTTTGTTCTTTTAATTGGTTACGATTGGCATTGGCAGTCCAAAATAGCTGGGATTGAGATCCTTTTTATTTTGTTTGTTTTATTATCGTCTGTGAATTGGGCCTTGTTATCGTTCTAATACACAGAAGTTTTCTCAGCTATATATTTTTGAAATTATTTTAAATAAAATATTATTCTTTATGAAAAGTTACCAGAAGATTATAACCTCAGTAATAACTTGTCGCTAAATATTTACTTGTATTATTTTTCTTCATTAATAATGATGGAGAACATATTTCATAACCTCTAATACTGGACTATTTCCTCTCACTTGTACTTTCAAAAGAATAACCTAAAAGCAATAATATTTCCATACATTTATTGACTTTTTTTCTCGTCATTAGTCTTCTGTGTAGAATATTGATTTTTTGACATCACTATCTCTTCATTTAAGCTCAGATTCGTACACTAAACAGAAATACAAGGGGTGCACTGGCAATGAGACTAAGAGAAGGGGATAGAATGGCTAGTGTGGACATTGTACCAGCAGCTATGTGGAATAAGTTGGAAAACTTTTCAGGAGCCCCTCGGAGCAAGTAATTTTCCATGATCCTACATTTTTCAGTTGGTAGTATTGATAATTGATAGGTTTGTATAAGATTTCTTGTTAATTGATGTGATTTGGCTGAGAACCTTGTGCTGGATGCCCCTATTGTTTGTAAATCTTTTTGGTGCTTGATTATGATATTATGATTGCTTTGTCTTTCCCTGAACTAAACTTTCCTTGCTCTACCAACGTCATTCTCTGGTTTATAATTTATTCATATCAAAAGTTTTTTTTTTTTTTAAATTATACATCTATTAGAAGTTACAACGGTCCCTGAACATGGTTAGTTTTGGCACAAAAAAAAAAAAAAGCTAAAGAAACAAAAAAAGAACATGGTTAGTATATCGGCATTTGGAAATTACACTACATGTCCAAGAGAAAAGGAACGAGGATGGGGAAAAAAATCTCAGTTAACAGTGCATATTTCCAAAAGTTATATATCCTGACATCATTCATTTGATGTTTTCTACCTTACTAGTCTCATTATAGCTTTTGAAAAGCCGGCATACAATGATATGCTGGATTTAAGGGGTTCAACATCTGGAAGTACAGAAAACTATAAGCTTGCTGAAAAAAGGCCCAGTTTGCTAAGTGTTGAGTCTTCCTTTCGTGCTTTATTGGATAGTTTGTGGTTTCATTGACTAGCTAGGGCCCTGGAATATGGTGTTCTTTGAATTGTTGTATATACCATGGTTTGCAAAACCAGACCATTTTAGACCAGCTGGTTCAATTGCTAAACCGGCAAACCAGCCGTGTGTCTGGTCCAGAAAAGCAAGGAAACCAGTAACGGAGTGACTAGTATGAACTGGTTAACCCAGGTTTAGACCAACCAGCCTGTCAAGTTGACTGTATTAGCTGAGTTAGAGAGGAAAAAAAGAAATGAAGATCTCAAAAGATGAAAGATGAAGATGCAGGCAGAAGAAGAAAGCTGGAAGAAAACCAGACAGAAGACAAAAGGATGCATGGCCTTTGTCTTGCTGTTCCAACTTTCTGCCATGGTGGTTTTGCTGTGTTAGAGCATAACACCCAAAAGCTGGAAAGGTTCTGCCAGGTGTATTCTTTCAGTTGAGGAAAGGTGTTGCTGGAGGTATATTTTCTGTTGTGGAAAGTTGCTGTTGGAGAGATTTTTTCGATTGAGGAAAGGTGTAAAGATGGGAGGGAAGAGCCAAAAGTAAATGGTGAAGAGGTGTGGCCGAAGGTGTTATTTCTGGTGTTGAGGAGAAAGTCAAAAGGCTGGAAAGAATTCAAAAAATAATTAGGCATCTGAGCCGTCAAATGAAGAGCCAAATGATGTATAAAAGCGGGCCTATGAAAAGTCTATTAGATAGGTATTTAAGCAGAGTACCTGATTTTGAGGATATACTATAGTGGTACTTAAAAAACAGCAAAAACATCTGATGGGTCTTGAAGTCTGGCATTTTTGAATTTGACGAACAAGAAAACTTTCCAATTTCCATTGGAATACAACTCTAAAAGGTTTTGTTCATTAAAAAAAGAGCAAAAAAATTATATTAAATAGTTTTTTATTAAGTAGTATTTTTTAAGTTAATTTTTATTTTAATATTTTAATTCTTTAAATCTTGTTTTAATTTTATTACTACTGCCCACTTCAATCTTATTGTTATTATTTAAATTTATTCTATTATTATATCACAGTTTATTTAAAATAATTGTTATATAATTGAAAATATGGTGATTTGATCAGTACACCATTTCGATTGCAGTTTGACCACGGTGAAAACATTGACCCTTGACCTAATAAAATAGAAATTCATACTTTTAATCAGCTTGATTCACAACTATTTGCATGTCTGATGATTCTGTTGGTCTTTCCCTTTTTACTCATATCACATATGGTGTCTTGATCTTTTTAATTATATTTCTTCCATTATAGGGGGAAAGAGCCGATCAATGGATTGAATGGGTCTTTTAGCTTTTCATGATGTCTACTTGTGTCAAACTGCCAAATGATGTATATCATAAATGCCTAACATTTTTTTTAATATGCCTGCAGAGCAAAGGGTATAAATGGCCCATGGTTGTTGTTTGTGTCTGAAAGCGGTTATGGGAAGCGGGTTCCATTGAGCAGTTTTCGCCCATCGCCTCTGAATCGGGTTGGTTTGATAGGATACAAGGTATTTTTATATCCTGGACAAACCTGCATTTGATAGTAATTATGTTGATTTTCCATCTAATGTATATGTTTTTTACCACCTGTATTCAGTTTTCTGCTGAAGACCGCTTGGCTGCAGTTTTTGTAGTAGGATTCTCATTATCAGGTAATTTAGTTTGATATCGGGTACAATGCTGATAATTACCAGCATATCACTGCTTTACTGTATATTGTAGTTTCGGTTGTGAATTATTGTTTTCTTTTATTCAACAGAGGATGGTGAAAGTGATGAACAAGTGGTTCTTGTGAGTCACAGTGGTACTGTGAATAGAATTAAGGTCCGGGATATTTCAATACAATCTCGATTTGCAAGGTATGTTTGCAGTGCGTCCTTTTAGTGTGTGTGCAGGTTGTGTTAATTCTGTATTGCTATGGCTTCATCATACTGGCAAAATTTAACTGTGCAGAATGCGTGTGTACATATACATATAAGTGCATATTCTGTGCTATGCTTACATTTGAATTCATTCTTATAAATAATTCCATCACCTCCCTGATTTAAGGGCTATTTTCGCTTTTGCCTGCCTGCTGTTTCCTTTCCACTGCATTTATTATAATCAGATGAAGGTAAAGGCATCTCAAAAGCATGTAACATGGACATAGTCCAGAAATTGTATTAAATATATCCAAGAAGGATAAAGTTGCAGAAAATAAGAATTGGACTGCTTTTCTTTATTTGCATTTTTTTTTTTTTTTTGGTTTTATCTAAGATTTTGTTTTCTTTCATGTAAATGAAGACTCAATTAAGTGAAGGGAACTGGGTTACCAAAAGAATAAGCGTCCAAATTCCAGTTGTTTCAAGTAGCATAGCTCTATTATGTGTAAATAGGGAAAATTCCAAAGAAATGATAGTTGAATTTCCAAAACCAAAACATCAAAAGGTCACTTCAATTTGCAAAATTCCCAATTAGTCATAATGACTAAGTTGGAATTTTGAAATATTATTGAATTTACAATGTTGCCTTGTAATTTTTTGTTTTATAAAAAAAACCCAAGCAACCCTCACTGGCAGGCTTGCTCCGACACCCATAGCCAGTGCCAGAGCTTTGGTGGGTTGTTGGTCAGTGCCAAAGCTAATTTTTTCAACATTGACTCTTATAACAATATTTATAACTCCTTAACGCTATTTACCACGTATTTTTCAAGTTTTTAAACTGGTTTTTTTTTTTTTTGTTGTTGAAACATTTGTAACATAATTTCCAACTCTTATAATGATATTCACAACTCCATTAATGTCATTAACCACTTTACATGATGGGTTTTTAAATTTGGAAAAATTAGTAGTCCATGCCTAACCTTAAGGTGTTAATGGAGTTGTAAATATTGTTATAAGAGTTGTTAATCACGTTATAAATGTTGAAAAAATCCGTTTGAAGACCTGAAAAGCTCGTGGTAGATGTTGTTAATGGAATTGTAAACATTGTTATCAGAATTGTTAATAACATTACAAATGTTGTAGAAATCTCAATTTAAAAACTTGAAAAACATGTGATAAATGATGTTAATAGAGTTGTGAATATCATGATAAGTGTTGTTAATTACTTTACAATTTTTTTTTTTTTTGGTTTTGGGGTTTTTTTTTGGGGGGGGGGGGGGAGCTGCCAGCCAAAGCTTCGGTGCCAGTTGCTGGCGCCCATGTGAGCTTTGGCCCCAGCTGTTAGCATTGAAGCTCCAGTTAGCTAGTGAGAGTGGCTTGAGGTTTTTTATTAAAAAATGGTTAGAGGGAAACATTGTAAATTTACCAACATTCAAAACTCCAATTTTGTCATTATCACTGTTCTGGAATTTTGCAAATTTAAGTGGCCTTTTAGGGTTGTAGAAATTCAACCATCATTTGTTTGGAATTTTTCCATGTAAATATAAGTGCCATATTTGAAGAGAATGATACATCCAATATATTTATGTGGAGGAAAAAACTAGACGATAAAGGCTAATGAAAGCTAATAAATGCTAATAAAGTTATAAAAATATTTACAGCAAAAGATAGATATTCCCTCACACCCCCCTCAAGCTGGATTATAGGTATTGGTCGTGTCCGCAACTTGCCCATGTGTTCATCGAAGTTCTCTCTTGGAAGTCCCTTGGTGAGCACATCAGCAACTGGCTTCTTCAATAGAACGTATATTAGTCACACTATTCCACTTTTAATCTTTTCTTTGATAAAGTGTCTGTTCATTCCACATGTATAGTTCTATCATGCTAAGCTGAGTGATGAGATATGCGTGTGGCTGCCTTGCTATCAAAATAGAATTTAATTGGCAGTTCAACACCAATCTGCAGTTCTTTGAGAAGTATTTGCAACCATAAGCCCTCATAAATTCTATGCGCTCAGCTCTAAACTTACTTTTCACTGCACTCCTAGCACCACATTTTGTTTTTTGCTACTCCAAGTAAGGTTGCCCCAAACGTAGATACAATACCCATATGTAGATCTTCTATCCTTTGAAGCGCCCGCCCAATCAGCGTTAGTAAATATTTTTACATTGGGTTGTTCACCTCTTTTGAAGGATAAGCCCTTTCTGAGGGTATCTTTTAAGGTACCTCAAAATTCTGTACTATTGTATGCAAGGCTTGGATGCTTGCATTGAACTGATTTTTTATCACGGTCTATAAGTTGGCAAACACAAATGAGGCTTCAAACTTATCTTTGAAAGGTTAACCCAACGAGGACAAGTGTCATCATTTATGAAGTGAATGAACTATTTTGTTTTGGTGCGGTTTGTAACTTGGGATGGTCCCCACAAGTCACTGTGGATGGTAGCAAAAGGTTTGGTTGGGATATATTGACCTTTGGGAAATGATATTTTTGGGTGTTTAACTAATTCACAAACTTCGTATTTCATTTCTAGGTTGTTGTTTGAACAAAGGGACAGATACAAATAGGGTAAGTAATGAAAATTTGGATGACCTATTATGTCATGACATAATGTCAGTCTTAGAAGTTGATGTAGAGTTACATACTCTCTTTTGATATTGGTTTCTCTCACTGGCATCTTCAAAAAGTAGAGGCCCCCTGTGTAGTCTTTAGCGCTCTCAGTTGTCCTTCCTGATGATAGATCCTAAAAGACGCAATGGGATGGGAAAACATTAGTGCTGCGTTTGAATTGTTTGGTCAATTGGCTTATAAACAATGACTTGCATGGTATTTTGGTTTATGGAGAACTGATTACATAATTATAGACTCCAAAATACCAATGCTTCCTTTCCCAGCAACAAGGGTGAGAGACCATATGCAATTTAACTTTATAGCACATGGAGTGTATGTTGAAAATAATTGATGGCAATCAATCATATGACCTGATTCTCTAGACTCAGCAATCCATAGGGTTGTTTTGTTCCTTGAGGTTTTCTGGGTTGAAGGATGTTACCTTTTTGTGCAAATACTGTAGACACTGTTTGAAATCTGACCTGCTATAGTTGTGGCTTCAGTCTCAAATTTGTGTTGCATAAACCAGATTCCCCAATCCTAGCCACATAGCTTGTAGGACCAGAAGCTTCATTTCTCTTAGTCCTTTATGATCTCCAACAATCTCTGATCTCGATTTACTCTGGTAGCAAGCATATTCAACAATCTTAGTACAGATATGAAGTGCCCGATTGTGTGAATCCCAAGGGTTAAGCCGGAAATCAAAGAAGATGATCACCGCTGGAATGGGCATCCTGAAGCTTACATGCACCATCGTATGTGTTCTGATGCAGATTCATGCGGTGGCACTTGTGAGTGCAACGCGTCAGGAAACTTCTAGGGTAGACCAATCGGCCGCCTCTAATGTTGAAAAAGACTCTTGATGAGTAGTAAGAATAATAGAACAGTTGTAACCGTCTTGGGCAAGGAAGGTGTTTCATGGTGGTCAATACAAACTGATTAAGCTTTAAAATTTGTAATTTAATCCTTGTCATTGACAAAACGTTGAATTTAGCAACTATTGATGAAATTTTGATGTTGTTTAATTGATGGAACTTATCTTCATACCTTGATTTGCATGATTTATGGCAATAAAAATTCTTTAATTTCATGCACATTTAAAAAATGAAGGGACAACCCAGCCTACTAAGCTCCCGTGATGCGGGGGGTTCAGGGAGGGTTGGATGGACCCACTTTGTCATTGGGCCTATTGTACACAGCCTTACGTTGCATTTTTGCAAAAGGTTGATCCCACAACTTGAACCTATGACCACCAGACAACATAGCAACTTCACCACGTGCCAAGGCTCTCCCTAAATTACAGAAAAATATTGACAAATATATGATAATAGGGACTAAATTATAAATTTTTAGATTAAGGACTTAAATGCAGTTTTTTAAACTAAGGATCAGATTTTAAATCGTGTAAATGAAGATTAAAGTATAATCTTTTTTTCCCCCCTAATACTCCTCCGATCTTTAATGTAAGAGCTAATTAATTACTCTGGAGAGATTAAGAAAACTAGGTAAATTACTTAATTATAACAAATGTGACAATTTCTTTAAAGTGACTCTATTGATATTAGATTATATGTTTGAGTCAGATAAATTAGTTTGAGGGAAAATGATAGATACGAAAGATAAAATAAAATAAGGTCTTGTGACTAAAACCAATTCCCCCTCAATTTAGGGCTTTGTTCAATTAAACTTGGTCATTGTTCCAAGATGCATGCAAGTGAGAGACCATGTCTTTAGAGTGACTCAATGTATTGCGTTTGAGGGCAATGCTTTGGGTTCTTCTGCACCTTGTCCTTTGGCACGTTCATCTTGGCAAGTGAACAATCAAAGCATCTTCTTTTTTGTTTCTTTTGGAGGATACTGCTCTAAGCTTATTTACACAAATCTGATGGTTTTTACTGCTCTCTCTCTCTCTCTCTGTGGCTAAGCTATGATCATAGTGTTCGTAAATTGTCTTAATTTATGTTGACAACTTGGATGAGCAAGTCTTTTGATTACTGGGGCCTTCCATTCATTCCTTACTGATTTATAGTACTCTTGGTGATTATTTGTTAGGGGAGTTATTTTGATGCGGCTTGATCATGCTGGAAAGATCCAGTCAGCTTCCTTAATTTCATCATCTGAGAGTGAGCCTGAGGAAGTTGAAGCAATATCTCAAGCCTAGTTGTTGACAATCTGACGTGTAGTTTTGCTCTTCATGAAATGCAGTTTCTTGATCCTGAAGCTAGTGCATGGAAATTTAACATTTCGGCCGATATTGTTGGAGCTTTCTTCATTCTTCTGCATATGTAATTTTTTGTGATTGGAAGGTGATGAGGAAGGTTTTTGAATTACTTTCATGCCTGTAGTGTAGGTGGCTGAAAATTAAAATTAAGAAATTGAAATTCCCTCTTGTATCACTGTTGTCGGTGTAAATCATATATCAGATTGCTATTAGTTGTGGCCAAGCTATGGTATTAAAGGTTTCAATATTCAGTTACTGTTTAATTAACCTGTGAGTTAGTTAGATGTGAATTTAGCAAAGAGAAAAACACTAGACCGGACCAGTCAGTTCAACCGGAAAACTAGTGAACCAGCTAGTGGTTCGGTTTGGATTTGTTGTTGAACTGGGGTTGGAGTTGATCCATTTATATACTTGGTGGAATCTGGGATATCTTAACCAAACCTTTTGCATGGGCTCGCCGTGCACTGGTATGGTTTGGAGAAGCTTACTTGTCTTATAGTTTAGGTGCTTAATCTGTTTTTGGTTTTATTACTTGTTACTTTGTCTGGTTTAATAATACTATTTATCCTAGTGAGTTTTACGGCCAAACCAGTAAAAACCGGTATGAATCAATTTGAATGATTATGTTGTTATTGGTTCTGTTTTTTCTCATTTAGTTCTTAATATCTCAGTCACTATAGACTTAAAGATCAAAATTTTCAATGTTAGACTTTGTTATTGTTATAATCAAAATATTGTTATATTGTTATTTTTAATTAAATCATATTATTTTAATATGATCATTTTGATCCTGAGTTAATCCTGGTCAGACCAACAAATCCTACCTCAATTGATTTAGTGTGTGGTTTGGTTTTTTGTTCATTGAAATTTATTGTTGAAGCTATCAAATATTTGTAATTTTTTTTTGACAATGCGATGTTCAAATTGGAAACAGTGGATTTTTCTAAAATGTTTGATTCTTTAAAAATTGAAAAGCACTGGCTTTAATTGTCACTTATATTGTAGTTTACATATTTTTGTCCTCTAGAAGCTAGTGAAAAAAGTTTGTGATGACATGAACAAAACAAACATGAGCAAAGTATGCCAGAAAATGTTATGAGGAAGTGTGAAGGAATATTTGTAAATGGATGAAGTTTTGTTTTAATGGATTAAGAATGTTACATAAAAAAAACATTTCCTCTATTTCTTAGTTTATTATTTTAAGATAATATTGATGTTATTATGGCCTGATCTTATCTAACTTCATTCACTTGAATCAAGTGTATTAAGCCCCTTTATAGTTTCATGCATAAGGCTTAAAGAAAGGTTTATAACAGTATAGGAGGTCAACATAATATAAAAACAAGCTTTATAGTTTCACGATAATAAACATCCACAAGCTTAATTTGAAACATAAAAGTCTGTTTTCCATACTATTGATAGGTGAATGCTTAGTGACAGGATTTTTTTTTTTCAGGTGTAGATACTTTCCGGTTGAAAGCAATTCTATTTGAGTCACTTTTGGTGAAATTTTTATGGGCACCTCTTCTAATGGGAAATAGGTACAAATCTTATTGTGCTATTATGAGTATCTTAGTACTCATTATTGTGACAACTTTTTCAATTAGTATAGCTTTTTTTGGAATATTTGTGGCGTTTTTTTATAAGCTTTTTTAATTCATCTTTACTAAATTTCAACTTTATTTATTTTCAAAAAATGTTTCTAAAAAGATGTTGTAGATAAAACAAGAAATCTCATATATGATTGGTCATATAATTGTAGTTACATAGGTGTTTTTTATATAATATATTTAATTAATAATGAGCATCGATTTCATATTTGAAAAACTTACTCATCATGTTTCAAAACCTTGCCAAAATTTTTAGGTTGTTAGAATGAGATGCAACTTTAATGAGGGTCCAAATTCAAATAAAGGGTTAAGGTGTATTTTTAATAATCAAGTTTATATTAAAGGGTACTATGCACTATAAAGTTTTTTTAAGTGTAACAATATAAAAGGAAGCAAAAAGTAACAACATCAGTAATGTCTGTTTCTTGACTATTAGTAGGTCCCACAAAGTCAATTTTAATATGCATCTTAATAACAAAGTTAATACTAATGAGTACAAAAATATACATGAACTTTCTAAAATGTCAAAAAAAAAAAAACAAAATTCACAAATCTCATAAAATGTCCATTAACTTCATTCTTTAAACACACACATACTCTTTCAGTCATGTCATTTTCTCAGCCTCTGAACCTTTTATATGTATTTACCCATTTGTCAACATCATACCACTCTTTCTCTCTTCTAGTGTGTCCTCTCTCTCTCTCTCTCTCTCTGCATGTCTCTTTCACGTTCATTTTTCAAGGTCTTGCTGCATGGTAAAGAGGCAAGATAGAACTAATGGTATTTGGTAAGAAGGGCAATGAACCTCGTATCCTATAAAGAAAAGACATTGTTTTGGGTATATATATATATAGAAGGCTTGGAAGTTGAAAAAATGACATGGTAGAGAGAGAGAGAGAACATGTGTTGATTGTGATGTGAGAAAAATGGATAGACTTAAAAGTGAGAATAGGTAGAAAAATGGATAGACTTAAAAGTGAGAATAGGTAGAGAGAAAATGTGGCATTTGGTGGGATTCTAAAGAATAAGGTTAATGAACGTTTATGCAAGTTGATGAATTGTTATTTTCCCCCCATTTTAGAAAGTTTTTATATATTTTTGCATCCAAGTAAATTTTATAGTGCCCAATACTCATTAATGTTAACTTCATTGTTAAAAATGTACCTCAAAACTGATTTTGTGAGTCCCACTAACGGATAAGTAACTAACATTAATGGTGTTGTTACTTTTGCTACAATTTTATGTATATTTTCATATCTAAAAAACTTTAAAATACTCAGTGCCCTTTAATGTAAACTCGACTATTAAAAATATTCCTTAACCCTTCAAACAAATATTGCAGACTCATCAACAAAAAGGGTATCTTTGTCCATCATATAGGATATCGAGAAAATGACAAATAAAAACTATGGAAATTGCAAAATCTCAAATCAGGACTTGTTATAATACTTTAACAGGTTTTGACAATAATTAACTTATACCTGATTTGAGATTTTGTAATTTTTGTAGTTTTTTCTTGTCACATTTCCTAGAATCTATCTAAACATTTATATTAATATCAGGCCTGAAATCATAAGGATTCTTATCTTGCTTCCGCGGAAAAGTGGCATGACCATCTGGATTCAAAATCTGGTATTTCTGAAAGGAAGATATAAAATGTCAAAAAAAATCAAAATTCATTTATATACACTCGCCAACAAAAGTGCAGATGTGGATAATCATTCTGCAAAATACGAAGCATTATTCTCGTTCTTTTTCCTTCAAATTGTTTTAAAAGAATGATATCTAACACAGATACAATAACGGAAATTGGGAAGAAAACCAAAACAAAAAAAAAAATACTATAAAATATACGACATCAAATTTAATTTTTATTTGAACAGGTTTTTTTTTTAATTTATAGCGTGAACATATATAACTATTTAGATTGAAGCCTGTTTGGTGGAGCAGCTTTCTCCATAGAAGCTTTTTCACTTTGTAACAAAAACAATTGTGCCAAAAGTTATTGCATTAGCTTAGGACTTATTTAGATCCCCGATCAATAAATATCATGCGTAAGAGAGTGAAAATAAAATAAACTGACGGATTAGTCTGGACCGTTGATGTACTTGAAAGATAGTCTGTTTAGGATACTGGATGGATCATCCAAAAAAAAACTGACATATAATGAAATTATAAGACCTAAATCTATTGATTTGTTAAAAAAAAAATCTACCTTTAATTCTTCATCAACTGTGGTCAAAAAAAATTCTTCATCAATTTTTATTTTTATTTTTAGTATCTTGTCGATTTATAAGTTGATAAGTAATACTTTAGTTTCATATTCTATATTATGTATATAAATAATAGAAATACAATTGACATTGTCAGTTATTACAAGTTATTACTGGTAAGGCCACATCAAGCGATTGGGAAAGACAAAAAAGAAACAGAAAAACCTAACCGATTAAAGAATGAGCCACGTTATTTATTAACATAAAAATATATAGTGAATTATATACTAGTATTATGTTGGCAAAAAAAATTATATACTGGTATTATATATTATATATTTTACCCTAGTATGGTATATTGCACACTGTTGGCAAAAAAATAATTATACTGCACACAACCAAGAATTAATTACATTATTTACTACTAATCAGTTGTGTCATTCGTTATAATTTTTTTTTACGTTAGTGTTAATATTAATTACATGTCATGGTCAAAAAAAATTAATTACATGTAAGTCTATGGTCTATTATATTGTCTATAGAATAATAATAATAATAATAATAATAATAATAATAATAATAATAATAATAATAATAAAGTGTTGCTTCTTTGGCGCTCATGGAGATTAATTAAAAAAAAGAGTTTTATTGTTTTAGTGTGACTTATTTTTATAATATGTGTGTGATGATGATTATTATAATTAAAACATTAATTGAAATTAAATTTGCCACCAACTTAATTAATTGGTTTTCTTCAATTCCCACGCTATAAAAGAAGTACGTATAGCGCCGGAGCCCAGATTAAATTCAAATATAACGTTTATCCCTGAAGCGAAGCTAGTTGTAAAGACCAAGGCATGCTGACGGTAGTGAGTTCCACTACTGATGTGAGTTCCGTTCCGAACAACGACGCAAAAATGCCGCCGTCGGCTGGTGAGAAAGCGATTCGAAGATCAGGAAACATCATTTTCTTTATCAACGAGCTTCCATTTGACATTGACGATGTAATTGACGAAGATGAGGTACAAATTCTGATTAAATCGTCGTGCATGGCTTCTGATTTACTCTGTAAAATCAAATTAATCTTTCTTGACATTTTCATTAATGTTACTAAAGAGACAGGTGAATCTTCGTTTTAAACGTAATTTAGATCTGCAAGAATGGTATATTTTCTTAAAGATTTGGGTTGTACTGTAAAACAGAGTAATCGAACAGTTTGGATGTCACGAATGAGAAATTTCTTGGAAGATAATCGAAGATAAAACTACAATAGAATTATATGAGTTCTAATTAGCATCGCTATTTGCTAATCCCAAGAAAGATTTTACAGTTTTGGGTACATACCAATCCAATAATATGGAAACGAAAATCGAAGGAATTGTTTTTACAATCGTATAATGTTTTTTTATCGTACTGAAGTCAATATTTATCTTTACATT